CCAAAAGCAATGGCAACAAAAGCCAAAATTGACAAATGGGTTCTAGTTAAACTAAAGAGCTTCTGCACAGCAAAAGATACTATCATCAGAGTGAACAGGCAATGTACAGAATGGGAGAAAATTTTTGCAGTCTATCCATCTGACAAAGGGCTGATATCCAGAATCTACAAGGAACTTAAATTTAAAAGAAACAAACAAACCCATCAAAAAGTGAGTGAAGGATATGAACAGATGCTTTTCAAAAGAAGACATTTAGGTGGCCAACAAACATGAATAAAAGCTCATCATCACTGATCATTAGCGAAATGCAAATCAAAACCACAATGAGATACCATCTCACGCCAGTTAGAATGCCAATCATTAAAAAGTCAGGAAACGACAGATGCTGGAGAGGATATGGAGAAATAGGAATACTCGTACACTGTTGGTGGAAGTGTAAATTAGTTCAACCATTGTAGAAGACATTGTGGCGATTCCTCAAGGATCTAGAACTAGAAACACCATTTGACCCAGCAATCCCATTACTGGGTATATACCCAAAAGATTATAAATCTTTCTACTATAAAGACATATGCACACATATGTTTATTGCAGCACTATTCACAATAACAAAGACTTGGAACCAAGCCAAATGCCCATCAATGATAGACTGGATTAAGAAAATGTGGCATATATACACCATGGAATACTACGCAGCCATAAAAGGATGAGTTCATGTCCTTTGCAGGGACATGGATGATGCTGGAAACCATTATTCTCAGTAAACTATCACAGGAACAGAAAACCAAACACATGTTCTCACTCGTAAGTGGTAATGGAACAATGAGAACATATGGGCATGGGGAGAGGAACATCACACACCCGGGCCTGTCAGGGGATGAGGGGCAAGAGGAGGGACAGCATTAGGAGAAATACCTAATGTAGATGATGGGTTGATGGGTGCAGCACACCACCATGGCACATGTATACCTATGTCATAAACCTGCATGTTCTGCACGTGTGTCCCAGAACTTAAAGTATAATTTTAAAAAATAGAGAAGAGGTGGGAATAGGTGAGGAGGCCACAATGATATGCACAAGACTGCAAAGGGAGAAGTAGAAGAAAGATGACAGAGAGAGATGAAGCAATGGCAACTAGTCCCCCTTCTGGAGATGGTTGCTCACATCAAGATAAATGACAGGAAATGGCACATAGAGTTTTCTATCTTATAATGTGCTTTTGTATCTCAATGCCTTTTCCCCCTTTCAGAGCATACATTACTCAAAGGCAGGAAATACGTGCATGCTTGGAGAGAAAATAAAGGGGTTACTAAAAAAAAAAACCCAAAAACCAAAAAACTTCTACTTTTAGAGAATAAATAAAATTGGCATTTATTTTCCAATTAAAAGGAACAGTTGGATAAGCATGTAGAACTTTATGCCCAGAGATCAGAAGACAAAAGAGGGATAGAGAGAGATTTGGATCATCCATAGTTGACTGCCACATAAAAGTTGACAGGTTTGCCTGGCACATAGACTACAATGTGAATGGGACTCCAGGGTTGTTCGCTGGAGTTCAAACCCACACAGGGGCTGCATGCCCAAAGAGGGGTGGTTATATTACAGGCATTAAGTGAGGGAGTATAGAGAAAGAACTTTGAGAAATGCCCACATTTAGTGGGTAAAAGGAAAAGAAAGATAAACCAGCAAGGGAAAGAGGGAGAGTCACAAGCTGGTTGAGAATAGTACAGTTGCCATAGCCCATGTCTCTTTCTCTGCATGATGTCTAAAACAGTCTTCAAGATTCAGTCTTTCAAAGTGAAAATAGTCTGTGGCTCCTCCTTCACAATGTAACTTCTCTCTTGCTATGTATCCCTGTCTTTCTATCTGTGTGTATATGTGTGTGTGTCTGTGTCTCTCTGTATAAGTGTTCCTCTTTCACACATGCACATATGTATACATTAGCATTTGACAACTTCTATGCTAATTTCATTGTCAGATCAAATTAGTTCATTAGAGTTAAATGATCTTTGATAAAGCACTATTTACCCACAGCACTTGTTCCTCTTACTAAAATTGATGCTAGTTAGGAAAAACTTAATTACCTTTCTCATTCTGTATAGAACATTTTAATTTTAAAGCCTGATTCTCCTCTGAGAAATCGTATTTCACCTTAGAAATTTTATGAGGAATACTTTGTGGCCTTTCAATAGCCATTTCTACCTGCATTATCTCTGTAAAGGAATATGGGTGTTTAAAATGGTTATCCTTGTTTTAAAGTTTCAGGCCATCGTATCAACTTTTGATCATCATCATCTGAAACACTTTTTCTAAAGTCTTTGGTCGAAAAGTTGTATTTCAAAAACTATGTCTTTGGGGACATTTTCTTTCCAAAAGAATAATTAGTTCCTAAGAAATGACACAGTTACACATTGTCAATGTAATTAAGTGTGCTGTTGCCAAACTCAGACAAGCCTACATTTCTGTCATCCTGCCTCATGCCAGGGCCAACATATTTTTTGCTTATTATTTTATAATCACCACTTAGAGAAGCTCAACAAAGCTTCTTGAATCCTAGGAAAACCGTAAAATAAGACTGGCTACAATCCTGGCAATGCCTCAATATCAAAACATGGTAATTTAGTCCACCCCTACCACTTGTCTTTTGTAGCAATGTGTCAATTACGTAGGAATTATTCTGCTTTCTAAAATCATCAGAAGAGGGTTTTCCACGACTTTGTCCTGTAATCAATGGAAATGCATGATAACGTGGATCATCAAAAGTGAAAAACAATTTTAATCGGCATCTTCTTTTTTAGGCAAATGGTGAATAAATTTGATTTATTTTATTTTTCCTTGGCTTCTCTTTACCCATTTTTAACCATCTCTGTGGAGTTGGATAGCTAATATTTTTAGCTGTACATGACAGTGTTTCTTTCCTTCATTACCACTCTCCTAGTATCAGACTTCACCTTCAGGTATGGATTGGATGGGGACAGGGGTATTTACAGGGCTCAGACTTGACCTAGTATAGTGATGCCAACTCCCTGGACACAGTGTTTGCTCTGGGATGGGAGCTAGACCCAAGTATGTCGGGTTGTCAGACAACATACAGGATTCCCACTTAATTTTAAATTTCAGATAAACATGAATAGGGGTCTAGGATATATTTTTCACCTCTGTTGAAACCTTCTCCAATAACGTGTGGGATGTATTCATACTGATACAATTTATACTTAAGCACTATTTGTTCTTTATCTGAAAATCAATTTTAACTGGGTGTCCTTTATTTTTGTTTGCTAAATCTGACAACACTATAAGTAGGACCAGAGACTTCTTTTGTTTTGTTTGCTTATTTTATATGAACACAAGGGAAATAATTTCTGTTAGGATGTACAGGACAGGATTAAATTGCAGCCCATCTGATAGCCACTTTCCCTGATGAGTAAAAGGAAAAGTTAGCCAAGTAAAGGGGCGCAAACACCTGAGGTGGCAGAAAGATAAGTCTTCCGAATTCTAGCTCCTATCTGCAGGCTCTGGTACTGCAGCTCTTCCTTTTTATATTATGCACCATTCCAGCATCTTTCTCAGTTATGGCAGCCAGTAGATTACTTTTATTTGTATAAGCAAGTGGGAGTGTGAGCTGTCACTCATGTGACACTCTCCTCCTTCCCCTGGCGTCCTCCAGCATTTCTGCTTGCCCTCCATGCAGCAGCACACACTCAGACCTCCCCTCCCACACAAGCTGCCCCACCCTGCATAGCACACTGTTTTCCTGCAACAGGACCTTAAAAATTCTTGTTGAAGTAATCAGTGGATAGAGTCACAGGAAATAGGGAGTAACTGCAATACCTTGATTAAAGTATGATATGTGGCTGAGCATGGTGGCTCTCGCCTGTAATCCCAGCACTTTGGGAGGCTGAGGCGGGCGGATCACGAGATCAGGAGATCGAGACCATCATGGCTAAACAGGTGAAACTCCGTCTCTACTAAAAAAATACAAAAAAAAAAAAATTAGCCAGGCATGATGGCGGGCGCCTGTAGTCCCAGCTACTTAGGAGGCTGAGGCAGGAGAATGGCATGAACCCAGGAGGAGGAATTTGTGGTGAGCCAAGATCGCGCCACTGCACTCCAGCCTGGGCGACAGAGTGAGACTCCATCTCAAAAAAAAAAAAA